AAGGCAAGCTCTTTAGAGATCGCATGAGGCTGTTCATTTTTGTCTTGTAGAACACACCACCCTTCCTCTCCCCTTCCTCCCTCTCCCCCGTTAAGGAGTCAGAATGCTTATGCACTCAGACCTATAGAACGAAATAACATTAGAGCAACTGTGTGACCATGGTTCCACAACTGGGTCAGTGTCTAATGAGGGAAAGGTGGGTTGATGGTCTATACTATTGCTATCGCTTTCTGCTTAGTATATTTTCTCAGACTTCAAACAACTATTTCAAATAAAGAAACAGTTACATACTGACAGGTTTCAGAGTAGCAGCCGTGTTAGTCTGTATCCGCAAAAAGAAAAGGAGTACTTGTGGCACCTTAGAGACTAACACATTTATTTGAGCATAAGCTTTCGTGAGCTACAGCTCACTTCATCGTACTGTAACTGTGGTTCTTCGAGATGTGATGCAGATATATTTCAAGTAGGTGTGCATCCTGGATTGGGAAACTTTTGCCCAACAGTACCTGTAGAGGGGCAGCGCTCATGCCTCGTGCCTGTAGCCCCTCCCCTAGCTGCCCTGACACCCCACCTCCCTCAGTTCCTTTGCACTGAATGTCAAGAGGAAGACTCCAGTGCAAGGGGGATGGAGGGTGAGTCATAGAATACATGTCTGCATCACATCTCGAAGAACCACAGTTACCATACATGACCATTTCTTCTTCAGGTAGATGCAGATATGTATTCCAAGTAGGTGACTAGCAAGCGGTATCTCCATCCAGAGGTGGGTAGATGCAGATATGTATTCCAAGTAGGTGACTAGCAAGCGGTATCTCCATCCAGAGGTGGGACTTGGAGTTTACCTGAGTAAGGATTGCAAGACTGCTCTTCCGCCATTAGCATCCACTCTGGAAGAAGCAGTGATCATGTAATGGTCCGTAAATATATGCAAGGATGAGCATGTGGCTGCCCTACAACAGTCCAATATGGAAGTGTCATTGAGGAACAGCATCAGTTTGGCTGTGCACTCATTGAATGTGCTCATATCTGCTGAACAGGCATAGCCAACACTATCTTTTATGCAGTCTTGATACATGACGTTATCCGTCTAGAGATGGTTTGCGTAGAGACTGCTTGTCCCTTCATGCAGTCCACATATGATATGAACAGGCGAGGTAAAGCACAAAACTCTTCAGTCCTGTTCAGATAAAAGTCTAGACGACATCTTATGTCTAAAGGCATTCTTCCTCCAGGGAGAAATGTATCTTAGGAAAAAAATACATGCAAATACTCCACCTGGTTCAAGTGAAACTGAAAGACTACCTTGGATACAAATTGTGTGTGTGACCAGACCATAACCTTGTCCTTGGAGAACTGTGCATAAGGAAGCCCAGCCATCAGGGCCTGCAACTCTCACACCCTCTTGACAGAGGTAATGGCTATCAAGAATACAGTTTTCTGAGACTGGAGGGACAGCTGATAGGAAGCAAGGGGCTTGAATAGAAGACTATTCTGTCTTCAGGTCCCACTTGGGGTTCTTGGACTTGAGGATGAAGGTGGAGAAGTCCTTCCAGAAATCTCATCAGCATGGAGAAAACCAATTTCCCTTGTATAGGTGGATGAAATGCCAATATTGCTGCCAAGTGCACTCTCAGAAAACTGGTGCTAAACCCAATTCCTGAAAGTGTAGCAGCTACTCCAAAATTTCCTGGACGGAAATCTCTACTGGATGGGTCCCAAAGGCCAAGGACCACACAGAAAACCTCCTCTCCTTTGCCAAATAGGCTGTTCTACTGTTAAGTAGGACCCATCGGACAGCCTCTGAGCAACACTCTTCCTCCTCATTCAGCCATGAAGCAGCCATGCCATAAGGTGCAGAGAGCAGATCGCTGAACGTAGGGTGTGGTGCAGCTGTGGGCCAGTGTGAGGAGGTCAGGAAGGAGATGAAGTGGCATGGCAATCTGGACTGAGAGCAAGATGGTTCAAGAATCAGCATTGCCTTGGCCACGCTGAGGAGAGAATGCAGGAAAGCACCAGAGAAGGAGCCTAGGCTGAGCTCCTTCAGAAAGCAGAATAGGCAACACTTCCTGTTTTCCCTCATCACAAAAAGATTGATTGCGCAGATACCCCAATTGTGAAAACCATCCGAAGAGACCATTTTTTGTTCGGGGAGAAAAACCTGCTAAAATGATTTTTGAGGCAGTTCTAGACCCCCTGGTAGGTAGACACCTAACAGAGTGATGTCCTCTATAATGCTGAACTGCCATGGGTTGATCACCTACAGGCACAAATGCCTTATCCCACAATCAATTAGATTTTGTCACTGCTGCTTCCATTTGCTGAACTCCTGCTTTATTTATTGTAGGTAATTCATGAGGTCTGTGAGGTGTTGGGCACAGATGCCTGGGGACCAGAGTATGGATAAGAGATTATTGGAATGAAAAAAGCCATCAGTGCTCTGGTATTATCTCCCCAATTAAAGTAAGTGTTTTCAATATTTCATGCTAATTGTGTTAAGTTCTGAGTGATGCAAATATGTTATTGTGCATGATTTATCTGTATTTATTATGTTTGCATGGTCAACTGTTACCTGGAGTACTCACAAAAATATATTGTGCATTAAATCAAATTATATTGGTGAATGAATGTTCATGCCAACTAATGAATTGACTGGAAAAAACAAGATTATGGAGCCTGTTCTCCACTGCCTTGCATCTTGTCTAGTTAATTGCACCCGTGTAAAGTGAGTTCAAAATAGTTGTAAGGTCTTTCTGCCAGTGAGTAGAAAAATTCTGATTTGGTAGCATTTCACACTCACTTTGCACAGGTGCAATTAATTAGACAAGGTGCAAGGTAGTGGGGAACCAGGCCACAGGATCTTCCTAAAATTTGATTTGTTGAGCCTGATTCTGCTTTAAGTTATAATGATTTCATATTGGCTTGAATGAAGTAACTCATAATTCAGTCTGATGTGAAGGCAGAAACAGAAGGCAGTCTGATGTGAAGGACCAGCATATTTTTTTTAAATGGTAAATTAAACAAAAAGTTTTGTTGTTTTTGAAAGTCAGGATGAGCAAACTGAAAAAAAAACCAAGCTAAATGTTACAGAGAATATTAAAAATCATATGAATTGTGAATGTGTGCAAAGCAAATATGAAAACCTTTAGACCAGCTGTTAGTTAACATTTGAAAACCAAATGAAGTGAGTTTGGAAAATAATGCACCAGATGGAGGGAATATATACACCCAGGGAATAACAGTGTTTCTTTATCTGTCATTCTAACTTAGTTTTGGACATGTGCTTATCAACATATAAATGCAAGTCTGAAGAAAACTGTTTCATAGAGATGCAACACCTTTCAGCGAAGTACTACTGTTCATTTCCTAGCCATTTTTCTCTCCTATTGTAGGAAATAAAATAAATGAATAGAAGAACAGTATGAACATCTTTATGTCAGTCCTGAAGTGTCTGCTTTTGATTGTCTATTGTAAGCTGGAGTGCTAATAAATGCAAGTAGAAGCTAAAATACATGTATAGTGGTGCTGTTTAAACTAATCATTTCTTGTGTGGGGGATGTCTTGGATGAGCAGACCTAACTATGAACTAAGTAGAAATTGATTTAGTTGGCAAGTATTTTGGCTTTCAGGAAGCTTTGGTGGCACACTGAGATACAAAATGCATATGCTGAAAATGATGCTGTCAAACAGCATATTCAACTGAACAGGAGTATAACAGTTGTGCCAGTATGAAAGTTGTTACTACCAACTGATTGGAAAATTATAGGTAATATTTCAAAATTGTTATTTTTCATCTTAATTTTCCCCCAATACTATGCAATGCCCAAAGCACTGAAAGAGATGCTACTCGATACACAGAGAAAGAAAATGTATGAAAATTAAGGGCACCCACAATCATCATTTTCTGTAAATCAGCCTCTCTCTTATGGCGTCACTGGAACTATGCCCTTTGACAGCAGCTGAGAATCTTGGCCCACCTATTTTTATGTCACACTGCTTTCAGGGCCAGATTTTCTGACGCAAAGATTTGTGTGCACCTAACAAATGCCAAATGTGTATACTCAGATAAGGTATTGTCAGATGCACAAATACCAGATTTGCACATACACATCTTGACATTGTGTACATTAGGTAGGTGCACACAAACATATGACACTTATCCTTGACTAGGTTGCCTGTGGTGCTGTTAATGTGCTCTCAGAGCCATTTGAGTGTGCTAAAAACAGAGGAAGACTACAGTGCATCTATATTACACAAACGACAAATAGTAAGAAAGTTACATACTGTATTTTTTCCTCTTTTGCTATTTGTTAAATTAAGAATATGTGCCTTTGTTTTCGGCATAGATTTTAATGTTACAGGGAAATGAAACGAGCACCCAATGTATAGAGATAAAGTAGTATGATGTTTTCCCTTGTTTGTATTAGGACTCTAATGATTTTGTGTAATCACTGCAGCAAGTGCTGAAAGAGGCAGGAAATGAATAAAATCTGCCAAGTGCACAGTGAGAATAAAGTCATTGCTGTGAATGTGAGTGTGCTGCACTGTGCTATTTAAGGCATGCTACGCACACAATGTTCAGTTCAGATAAAGCCACGGGGGGCGGGGGCGCGGGGGAGCGGGGGAGGGAGGCCTACCAACTCCAGATGTCTTATTAAGAAAGAAAGAAAGAAAGAAAGAAAGAAAGAAAGAAAGAAAGAAAGAAAGAAACTGACATTTTTAAAATGTTAGTATTTTATTTTTAAATTTTTTCATTTATTTTTTTTTCCCCTGCAGGCACCATTTCCTCTCTCCCCTCTTCATTCAAACAACCAGATGGCTGGAGCCTTGTGGACGTAGAGTTACTTCCACTTTTAATCTCTTGCTCTCGCAGTTTGAACCAGATTTGGTAGAAAACTTTACATTTCCACTTTTAAAAATATCAATTGCTCATGTGTAATAAAAATGATGATGTTACTAAAACAAAAGGGAGTTGGGAGACAACCTAAAGTTAATACATTTACCTCATCCCTGAAAGGCTGAATCCAAGTCCTGGATTAAAGTGAATTTGCTGGCCTCAGGTCACTATGTGTCAATTTCAGAGGTACCATGGGGATTGACACGATGCAGCACTGTAAGAATTGGCAAAAACAATGAGGAATCCTTGTGGCACCTTAGAGACTAACAAATTTATTTGGTCATAAGCTTTCATGGGCTAGAACCCACTTCATTTTGAGACTGAGTCTTATCCTATCCAAACTAGGGTAAAATCAAATCAGCTCAAGTCAATGGCACTACAATGGTATAAGATTGGTGTAAAGAGAGATCAGAATCTGGCCTTCTGTGCAACAAAGTACAAAAGACTTGTCACCTGGTGGCAGTTGAATCCTGACCCTATCAAATAGAGCTGACTGTAGTTTGTAACCAAGTGACTTTCTCAGGCCTTACGCTCGGTAGGAAAAAAAAGGTGTGTTCTTAACTCATGTAAGCTGAAGTATAGTAACTAATATGAGATAAAATCCTCGTGAAGACAAAGCAGTTGTAGTTTTCACGTGAGTCAGCAGGTAGAGGTAAACACTATGGCGGAGCCAAGAGTTTACTTTGACCTGTAACTCATGTGAAAACTACAAATTATTTTGTCTTCATTAGGATTTTACCAGGCTAGTTACTACGGGCAGCTCTACACTTAAAAAGCTGTGCCACTGTAGTGCTTTAGTGAAGACCTATGCTGACATGAGAGCTTCTGCTGTCAGCAGAGTTAATCCACCACCACGAGAGGTGGTAGCTATGTTGATGGGAGAAGAACTATAAAATTCAATCCACCCTGGATTCTCTTTTTCTGAAGGCCCAATATCTAAAAGCTTCTTTTATGACTTTTTCTGGTCAAAGAGTGGAACTTTTGGAAATCCGTTCCCAATGCAAGACAAAACTAACTTCATGGGCATTCATGGGCTTCATTCCCAGATAACTCACATTGAGGAGAGTTAACAAAAAGGGTTGCTCTAGGATAACTGTGACTGTGTCAACCAAAGAACACCATTCCTCAGGGAAAGATGCACTCAAAGAGGAACAATATATTAGCATCCACAAATACGTATCTCTGTTGAAACCCCTCAATCCTCCTTCTACAGCAGACAACTTATGTCACACTCAGTCTGTTTCTCCAATTGTTATCTTAAGAACTATAGGAATAACATCAACACTTGAAAATGCTTTTGGATTTTCTCTTGACTTTCTGAGGAGCTAAATAAGCCTCCGGGAGCCATCAGTGCTTTAAGGATATTTATGGAAGTGAAGGAAAATGAAATACTCCCCAGTATTTTCTTTTCTTTTGTCAGAACAGAATTAACCTGTCTGTGCACAGCTAGCTGGTGCATTTAGTATGCACAATAATCATGGGTAACAAAGCAATCAATGATTCAGGTAGAAATGCTGAACATAACCAGTCTTATGTTCTTGGTTTGATTTCTTTTAAAAATATGGTTGGTTAAAAACATAGAAAAATTAAAGAAAGACAGCACTGAATTATAATCAATTATTAAATAATGATACTTTGCATTTACATAGTGTCTTTATTCTGAAATTCTCATAGTGCTTTAAAAAATCTCTGATTCAGTTTGTACACACAGGAAATCGGAGATACAGGGCAAGTTAAGTGACTTAACCAAGCTCACAGAGCAAGTCAAAGGCACTGGGAATAGGAATCTGGTTTCCAGACTCAATCCCTAGCTCTAACCACTGTTTTATTGATTTATATGGCCCTCATTAGCATAGCCTTGGAGCACCTTAGGAACATTAATTTGCCCACTGTTACTTTGTGAGGCATTGAACCATTATCTTCTTTACAGATGGACAACTGAGGCAGAGAGCGATCAGGTGACTTGCCCAATCTCACACAGGAAGTCTGTGGCAGAACTGACAACTGAACCTAGACTCCTCAGTCCTAGTCCAATCATATCACCATATTTTCTCTCTAGACCACACTGTCTCTCATGCTGCCTGCTCTGCTTAGGATAAACTAGAGGGTCCCTTATGGAGAATGCTTTACTGGCAACTCTCTCTTTTATATTGAGGGACTCTGGTTCAAGGACTTCTGCTGATCCCAGATGCAGGAATGGCACCTGGGAGGGGTGTCAGTTAAATAGATTACAAGCCTCTTAAAGCTTTATAGATAAAAAAGGTTCCATGTTATTTAAACTTCTTTTGGAAACCTATACATTATCAGGAGGGCACGGGATCTGAAGAGGCTGCCTGAATTACTAAAGCTGCTCCTAAGAAAAGGTGTTCTAAGATTACCAGAAGTATCCCAAGCAGATAGATATTGAACTGTACTGCTCCAGAGAATCTGAGGGATGTTTCAGGGGCTGGGTACAGGCTGCCTATTGTAAATCCTAAAAACACCCATGTAATTCCAAAGCCTAAACCAAGGCCTCCTATTGTGCACAAACTGCACTGATAAATCAATCCCTGATGATTTGCAAATAGATTGGGAACTCCCATAGATGTAAGCCTCCCCCTCACGACCCCTTCCCCACCAATAATTCTTGTATTAAAACCCATAAGCTTACTGAAGACCTTAGAATGTCAGGAAAAAAATACAAACTTTCAAATAAAATCTGGTATCTTGTAATTAAAAATAAATAAATCTATAAATGCAATCCCTTTGACAAGCAATGAAATAGCACTTTTCAGTTTTACCTTCCCAGGATTACAGTCCATGATTCCTCCCCCCCGCCCCGAAATGCCAGCAACATATACATTAAGGAAAGTTTCCCAACTCTCTAACATTTACAGTACATTTGTCATTTTACTTTAAGCAACAGATGTTTGAGGAATCACCTAATGATCTCGCCACATGTATTTAACAATTCACACTGTTAACACAGCATCATAGCCTTGATAATTCAAACAAACTGGCCTAGTAATGATCATTTCAGTAAATTTGTTGAAGACTAGCTAAATGATATATGAAATAGACAATGAACTATTTGACACTATTATCTAGAGTAATTTTTCATAGCTTTTCATGATTAAAGATTACATTGCCACCACTGCCAAAAATATTTAAGATATTCTTATGCTAGATCCTAAACCTGAGACTAATTTTAATACAAAAATTTACCTTCAAAATTCTCCGTCTCAAGCAAGACAATTTAGAGAGACATGCATTATACAAATCAGCAGAACCTTGCCTTTCAAGAATTCATAAGTTAGTTTCTCTACTACAACCCTTAATGAACACTGATTTATAATCACATTTAGTTACACAATCTAGTTATGAAGCTGACTCTTGGTCTTCAGCACAGCTTTTCCAGCCTCCTCTGCTCATTTTCAATACTAATGACAAGCAATTAACATGTGGTGCCCACTGGCAAGAGGCTCAAAAAGCCTAAACAGGACAATTATGACTGCATAAGAGTAATCATACACTGATGGGAACAAGACATTCTTTTAGCAATTGTTCTATTCCCTTGTAATAAGCAATTGTTTTAACACAATCAAATTGGTTTGATAGTCTCTTGCACTAGTAACGGGTAAATTAGCACATGCGTGAGGTGGGCTGAACATGTGATGAGAATGGGAGAAGAACAACTAACAAAGAAAGCATGGGAGGAAGAGGACAGCAAGAAAGATGTGAAAGACTGAGGATACGATGTAAAGAATGCGAAGAGAAGTTCGAAGACAAAGGGACTGGAACTCCAAGACCTAAGAACCTGTGCCATGGACTGGAAGGAACAGCAAAGAATCATGGGCACCTCTGACCCTGTCCAAATGGGAAAAGAAGTCAACAGGTGAAGTGGAGTCTGCAGTCCAAGTTAAAAAACTTAACACCTTCTGTTGTGATAAACGTTATAACTCTCAAAATCAAAATCTGCCAATCACGCCTTTGAATTTAATCACAATGACTTCAAAAGGACCATAATGAAAACAAGAAAAATAAGCAGTAATTAAGTTAGCAAGGTGAAATTTCCTACCGGGACAAATTCAAAATTGAATAATGTGGTGCAAATTAGACACCCCCCCTCTCTTCCTTGCACTCTGTTGTTATTATTCTGACTGCTCCTAAAGGTACCAACCAAGACTGGTGCTCCATTGTACTAAGCATCAACACCCACAGAACAGAAGACTGACCTTACCCAGAAGGCTCCCTTAGAAGTTTTGATTTCAACCCTGCTGTTGTATAAAATAATTTAAGGGCTAGATCCTGTAAGTCGCTCTGCCCATGTGATGCTCCCTGCTGAAATCTCTGGCTCTGTATGGGTGCAGAGGTTCATTATGGTAGATCCATTTGCATTAGCTAGTCATAGGCTTATGTAATGTATGCACCAAGGAGCTGTGCAGCAGAACGTTCCTTTAACATGTTTTGTGGCAACAACCTTGCCTGTGATCAGCAGTGTTTTTAAATGGAAAGTTAGGTGAGAGGTACCCTTCCACTAAAGTTACTTTAGCAATGAACTTGAGTTAAAAACTTATTGTAGAAGCCCAATAGGAAGAAATCTTAGCTTAAATTAATTTAACCTGAAAGCTAAGCAGAGCGACATACTCAGGCCCACAGCCAGACAAGGTAAGTCAGGGAGGCTTTTGGGCAGTGTAGGATGTAAAATTAATTAAATCAGAAAGACGAGCTCCAGAGATCCACTACCCTGAAAAACTGAAATGCCAGATACTAGTGGAAGAACAGACACAAAATGTAGCATATTATATTGACTAGCTTTTAGCTATGAAAATGTCATAGGTGTTGGGATTGTGACAAATACGATTCCTATTCTTTTCTTCCTTTTTAACCCCTTTTGCTCCCTGTCATCTGTCCTTTTTCCTTTTCTCTTTTCCTTGTTCCTTTCCTATCCTCCTCTTTGCCTCCCTCCATCCTACCACTTCTATCCCCTTTTCCTCTTCTTCCTTCTCCTCTATTATATTTTCCTCTTTCTGCTGTTTCACTAACTTTTTTCACTAGTTGCCTTCTCCTGGTTCTCCTCACCTCTCTTGTACTAGGATTTATGTCTGCATGGCTTAAGCATACATTATCCATTAGAGTGCTGTGGTACATACAAACATTGTGGGATAGAAAACACACCTGCAAACCTAACCTAGATTTGTACAGATTAATTACTTCTAGTATCTAGATTTCTAC